TGTTCTACTTACGTTGCAGTGTCCAGCATTTCTTTATTAATCACTGCATGAATTATAATAAAGCTATTTTTTATGCATAAATCAAGCGGAACACTATGGCGATAGCCGTACTGCTCCACCTTGGAGAGGAAAATCTGTTGGGCTCTTTTTTGCATCAAGACAACAGAGGCGTAGCCAGAAAATGTTTTAAGGGTGGCCAGGCAATAACCAATGTACACTGAGGGGTGGCCGAAAGCGGATAGGTGCCAGAACCTCAGGGTCAATCCACACTGTTCATGCAGGAAAATTAATCAGCACAACATCCATATTTTCTAAATACAGACAAACTATCCTTTCTTACAACCTTTGCTAAAAAATAGACGCATATATTTAAACATCCATGCTTCCTAGATAAAAGGTATAGTAGATGCAATTCTTTCAGGTTTGAGTTCTGGGGCGAAAATCTTTTCCATTATCATTATTTACCTACTTTTATCAATAATCATTCTGCCAAAAATGTATATTTACAAGTACTAATATCTACATAAATTGAATATTTAATACATTTTTATTAAACTAGTTATCTATGATTTCACTGAATACTCCTCTTGCAGAGAACATTATTTTCTCTTTACCCCATATAAGTCAAAATGTATTTCTGACTGTTGCCACCATCTGTATTAGAGGGAAAAATGGTAGGGGGGGCCACAGGGGTGGCCAATGATTGGCTAAGGGTGGACATGGCCACCACTGGCCCCCCATCTAGCTCCGCCACTGCCAGACAGGACGCTGAGAAAAGAACAGAAAGAAGAAAAAGTTTAAACATAGTGATCATTGATGAAATGTAGGTCATAAAGTTGTCTTTGGTTTCCCCACACTGCTCACAAACAGAACAAATGTCCCCCCCACTGGGTCTACACATTAGCATCACAGCAAACCTTCACGTGTCTCATGAGCGTAAAATCTCCCATTTGCAAATAATGACAAGTCTTCATACAATAAGTAACACGAAGGGAATGAAAGAGGGGCCATTTTGACCAGATGCCATTTAATAATTAACGGGATCGGGGCCCCTGATCCTCCTCATTTCCATTCTGAAGGGCCGGCACGGGGGTCCCTCATGGCCGGAACGTGTCTGCAGCTCAAAGCAAAGGGGACAATTGTTCCTATGAGACAAATGACTTTATTTAGAATTATAAAAGCACATCTGAAAGGGAGCAATAGGATCTGCTGTCTATATATAGACTGAGGAGGGGCGCGGACGTTCAGGAGCAAACATGCAGCCAGTTGCAGCCCAATTACCGAAGGTCCAAAGAGCTTCTTTCTCTGTGGAGGATATTTTGGATCCGTCTAAGTTTAACAGGACTTTTATCTCTGCTGGGGAGGAATCAGACACAGGTAAAAAAAAAAAAAAAAGAAAAAGAAAGAAAATGTAGTTTAATGTTTTTAATTTTATTCTAAATTCAGTTGTTTATATTTTAGAAAATCGTGATCTGAATGATGGAGATGGAAAGACGGAGGAGTCGGTGCGTAACAGGCAGAGGGGGAAGTCCTCACCGCCCCAGGGGGAGAAGAGCCGTCGGATCCGCACCGCCTTCACTCTGGAGCAGCTGCAGGTTCTGGAGCGCAGCTTCCAGAGGAGCCACTACCTGTCGGTGCTGGAGCGGCACACCATCGCCGCGGCCCTCCGCCTGTCCGAGACTCAGGTCAAGATCTGGTTCCAGAACAGGCGCACCAAGTGGAAGAAGGAGCAGCTGACCGTGCAGCGAGCTTTTACACCGGCGCTCCCGCCCCTGTCCTCCGCCTGCAGGCCCCTGTGCGGGCCCCTGTACGGCCTGCAAGGCCCTCCGCTCCGGCTGCTTCCCACTGTGCCTCTCATGCCCTACAGATGCTGCTATACCTGATGCGTAAAAGCGCGCAAAACGGACCAGAAACAAACTGAGTAGAAAATATTTGAAAAGGAAACATTTTGTAATTTATTTCGTTTACTTTTTTGTGAGACTATTTTTTTAACTGACTTAATTGTGTCCTTTTCCGATTAAAAGCAAACTTTAATGAACTGAAGGTATAATTAGTTTAAATACATGATGCGCTACCAAGAGTATTTTATATTTTGTATTTATTTCAGATATGTGCAGCATTAATCTCTACGATCTAATTTTAAGGAGAAATTCCAGATTGGTTTCTAATAAAATGAGAAGAAAATCAGAGACCAGGTTTGTTTTGTTTTTTATATCCCAAAATTTGCGACATAAACACTGTTTATTCAAATATGTGTCGCATATATTATGAAACGCTTTCCCTCCTGACACGTAAATATGTTTTTGTTCAAATTTAGGGAAAAATTACCCCATAAAGTCTAAATGTCACAGAACCTGTTTTCAGTGCAGCTGCCTCAGCAAACAACACCAGCTTAGGATATCTGGACATCTCTAGGATCAGAAAGCTGTTCTCTGCAGTCAACAATAATCACATCAGATGGACCTTGGTGGTTATTTCAAGTTGTGCATTTTGGCTCTGTGATTATTTGAAGACAGAAGAGCCTTCCTGCCTGTAGTAAATTAATTTATACGACCAGAGGAGGTTCTAGACAGGGGCCACCAGGGGCCTGTGCCCCTGTAGAACTAGTCCTGGCCCCTTTTATGGCCCCTGTACTGAAAACACACACGACAAAATTGATGTTATTACACTATGATTACACCCATCCCCTATATAGCGAATTTCAGTTTCTACCCTCTGGTTCCCGTTTTAAATATCCACCAGCCCAGACAAATCAATCCAAACACTCCTTTATTCCCTCTGCTGTTCAGCTGTTAAACTCTGCTAAACTCTACTAGGAAAAGCAGATAGTCACATGTTGGATGCATATAGGCCTACGCTCTCACGCACTGCACATATCTAATATATCTAATATCTAATATCTATTTATTTTATTTTTTTCTCTTTTATCCACCTTACTTTTATTTTTTTTTTATATTTTATGTTTCTTTTATTTGTGAAAAGTAAATGTGTGTGTGGAAAGTGTCCACTACTGCACAAAAATTGCCCATACTAGGACAAATAAAAGCTACTGAACTGAACTGAACTATAAAAAGTGTAACATGTAGCTGTTCTTTCAAACTAATGTATGTCACTCTAAACTAGATCAAGTTACTGATTTGATTGATTCTTTTTGAGACATCAAGTTTGACTTAACCTGAAATAAATACACCTACTAAGGACCCCAAACAAACTTTCTGATTTCTCTCAATATGTATATTTTTATTCATGACCTGCAGGTATTTTTTTTTGTTTTTTTGTTTGAGTCACATGTGAACTGGGCTTTGCAGTCAGAGCACCTGATCAAGTCTGTTGAAAAACACCATCATGTTTTTCCCCGCGTCCGTTAATTCGAGTGCAGGTAACATAACTGATGGAGTGTTATAAAAACAATTCTGGACAACAAAGCTTCGATTCGCCTTTGCAAAGGGAGAGGAGCATCAGCAGCACGCATCTGCAAACAGCAACATGAACCCCCTTCCAAAACCCCGGCTCTTTTTATTATCTTCATAGGGCACATCTTAGCTTCGTAGGGAACATCTTACAGTTTCACACAGACAGTCCCACAGAGTGATCATACTCATTCCTATCTCCATGTATGGAGTTGCTTCCTGCCGTTCTGCTCCACTGTTAATCAGCTTTTTCTGTGTGTGTGTCGGAGCAAGGTCATTCTCAGCCTTCCCATCTGCACCTGTTGTTTTCTACCCTCTGTTCTGTAAATCTGCCCTGATACATATGAACAATAAGTTTAGCTGCAGCTTTAACTTAGCTCTTTACTTCTTTTAGCTTAAACATGTATATATAGCTTCAGTTCCAAGTCCCAAACCATGAGAGAGCGCCTTTTTCGTTGTCTCTACATCCTGGGTGGATTTCACCCATAAATAAGCACAAGTAGCAAAGCAGTTGCATATAATCAACATTATAGCTGCTATGTTAACTAGTTAATATTAGCTAGCTGACCTCTGAGAGGGTTCATGCTTTACCGATAACATTATGACAATGAATTGCTAAAGTTAGCTAGCCAAAAGCCCTGGCTAGTTCGTCAGGGCTTCATCCAGAGCTAAACAAACATTTCTTGAAGGCTCAGTGTGGAGTTTAGATGGAGTTAAATGTTGGATCCCCGGCCGTCACTGGCAGGGCGGGCCTCCATGTTATAAAGAGCAGGAGGGCTGATGTGGTGAGCGTGTTAGCGACAGATGCTAACTGCTAGCGCTTGCTAAGGTTAATTAATGTTTTAATTAATGTTACAATTAATGTGTAATTTACACCACCTGGATTTACACCATTTAAGGCTATATTAACAATAAATATATTTAAAGTAATCTGTTGGCCAGGTGTTTTTTAATAAGAGTTTGTTAAATGGAAATTATTTTTGAAGTCAAATGAAATGTGAAAATCATCAATTGGTTATATTTTAAGTAACTAACTGGTGTCAATAAAAACATTAATTCATGTTAATATTGTTAAAAGTAAGTACATTAGGTTGGTTCAATGTTAATATATTACTTTGGTTCATCAACTGAAATGTTCAGAAAATCATCTGGAACAGATTTAAAGTTGGGTCAAGTGCAGTATTATTTAGGGATGCACGAT